CAAGCTTTCCTACCCCTTTCAACTGGGAGACTGGGTATACATGAAGATTTTTAGAAGCATGATCTGTCCCCATACTGGGAAAGAACTTGCAAAATACTTGCTGACCTACCCTGCCATCAAAATTAAAGGAAAATCTGGGGTTCATGTGAGCCACCCCAAGCAAGACCCAGATCACTCCTCTCAGGACAAGTAGATGATCTCAAAGTAAGGATTTCCAGAGCCAATTCCCAGTCCCTGGAAGAAGCACCGCAAAATAGATACATCCCAAGATCACGTCTCGAAAACCTTTGCCTCCACCTACCTTTTCCTCCTTTTAAGTGTCTGTTCTCCATGAAGGGGGAAAAATCATTTAAATTAACCTCACCTTTCTTGCTGTTTACTGAATGACTGCTGGTTATGTCAACGCCTCAATAGCATTGAAGAACCTGAGCTAGTATCTATTGTTGCCAATGTGAACACCTGGTGGACGAGCAGACGGATGAAAGCATAGGATATACACCTGGTGGACGAGCAGACGGATGAAAGCATAGGATATATCCATGACCGGAAGAACAAGTTCATTCTACTTCTCCTTGAAATGAGTCCACTGGGCTCAGAGAAACCTTTATGGAAACTCAAGGACTGTCCCTTGCTCTGGTAAAGATATCGGGAGAAAACAGAGCTAGCTCTCATTAGCCATATCTAGGTGACGTACCGAAACAATACTGCAATCAAACCCTGTGGTTTGATCCTCAGACCCTTCACAGAGGTCGTGTTTCAAGCACAGCCTTTTAAGGGACAAACATTTGCCAAATCATCAAATGCTTCAGCTGGTTCACAGGCCATCCTCAAAAAACAACAACAAAAGCAGCATGGGTAGACCATGCTTAGTATGATAAGCCAGTCACCGAAAAGACAAATACTATATGAATCTGCTTATGTGAGGCACCTAGAATACGCAAATTCATAGAGACAGAAAGCAGAATAAAGGTTACCAGGGGCTGGGGTTCGGAAAATGGGAAGTTATTGTTTAATGGGTAGAATTCTTGTTAGAATCGATGAAAAAATTTAGACAGTGATGGTGGTCAAGGTAACATTGCAAAAGTATTTATGCCACTGATTTGTACACTTACAAGTGGTTAAAATGATAAATATTATCTATGTGTTACCATAATTCAAAACAAAATTCATGGAACTGAATGATGGTTAAGTCTGAGAGCAAATGAAATGTATTGTTAACAGTACTGGTTCAAGTACTGTGAGATACTTTCTGCAAAATACCTACTGATGAATAAGGTTTTAAACATTTTAAACATGCAAGCTTTGAAATTTGTCCAAAGAAGCCTTTTTCTGCCCCATATAGATTTCTACCACCACCAGTTGTAACATTAGCTCAGGTTATATTGAATTAGTTACTTCTCATCCTTAAAAGTATTCTCACCTGTAGTCCTTCTAAGTGGACTATTCAGAGGCTAATTCCTCAGTCTCTTCAAACTCAGCATCAACTCCTGCATAAACACCTGAGTGGTATTGGTAACATTTTCTGACTCATCAAGATCCAAGGAAAACCATTCAAAATCATTTGCCTTGTTTTTAAATTCTCTGTCAGGCCCGCTGTTCTCACCTCTTCAAGCTACCATTTGCAACTCAAAGGCTAATAGTCTTAAAAAGTAAGTTTATATTCTCTGGACGTATTTCCTCCAGAGAAATTCACTCACCATTGATAAGCTTTCCTTGCTTGGCTCACGAATGAACTACTCCTACCTTGAAAGTACAACACTCAAAGCCCAGTTTTCTCTTTTCAAGGTTGAGTATGCACTAATAATTTTCAGAAAATAAGATGTCTCAACATGGTGATTAGGTATGACCCTTGAAACACTATTGAGTTATAAACATGTAACTGCGATTTGTTGTGCGAAGTGATGAGTGTCCCGTACTGTGTTGCAACAATTTCAATTCAGCCGTTATAGCAGGGAAATAGGCATATATAATATGTAAAGGAACGTGGCTGTGTCCCAATAAAACGTACGGACACATGAATTTCATACAGTTTTCACAGCTCACATTATTGTCCTCCTGTGGTTCTTTTAAGCCACTTCGAAATGTAAAAACCGCTCCTAGCCATTCTAGGCTCACACACAGGCCGCCAGCCACAGTTTGCTGACCCCTGCTGTGGAAAAAGAGAAAATGAGCTTTGGTTACATCCTTCACAACTGAATCAGGTTGTTTGTTTTTCTCCAGTATCTAATGAGAAACAGAGGCACCTCAGATAAAGTAGAAGGGTAAAACTTCAAGCGCTGGTTTTTCGAAACGATAAAATAGTCAAACATCTGACAAGTTTAACTTAGCAAAGAAAGAAAACACAACATTTAAAATAAGTAACAGATGGGGGTTTTTCTAATTTTGAGAGAAAACTACGGACTATATACTAATGAAGTGGAAAATCCTGATGGCAGAGACGATACAGAACAAGTATGAATTTTCAGAAAGAGAGGGGAAATTTCTGTTTGAATGCACAGCCACGGATTGTGAGGAGCAATAACCCTTTGGCTTCTGCTTGGGGTTCCAGAGCCGCTGCCCTCCCGGACCTTCCTGGCCCTGCTCCTTACAGCTCTGTAACTTGCAAATACCTGAGAGCAAGCCAAGAATCCTTATCTATAGACGTGCAAATACATAAATTCTGTTGGGTAGGAAGTCAGTTGACTTCACTCCTGTGGAAAAAGTCAGTTTGGTGTCCATTTATAATTCAACATTCCTTGACTCCACATTCGTCCTTCTGTGACTTCTCCTTTGAACTGATAGTGACATGTTCTCAGTTCCCTCAGAGTTAAAAAAAAAAAAAAAACTTACCTTGTGTTCATTTGATATCTGTAGGAGAGTCATTTCCCTTTTTTTGTGTGTGTTGTAAATTATCCTTTAACACAAATAACCAAGGATGATACAGAAAAATAGGAAAAAATTACCTTTAAAGGTTTCTGGAGCACTGTCCAATCGTGAAGGAGCAGAGTCTCCCTGACACGGGAGGCGAAAGTCTGTCCAGTGTGTTTATGCCGGCTGCATCGTCGGACCCAAGCCCCGAAGAGACCCCGGGCCAACTTGGCTCCCGCCGCCCCCGGAGCTCGCGGGATGCACCTGCGTCGGCCCCGCCCACCTCCGGAAGCGCCAATCCCAGCCCCCGGGGGCGGGGCCTGGCCACCTGTTTCCCACAGACGCCGCACGAAGTTGGGAGGAGCACCTGTCCTCCCCTACAGAGGGAGGTACTGAGGCCTAGAGAAGCTCCTCCGCGCGGCGGGAGCCTAAAGCAGCTTCTGCGGGCCGCCCAGCTCCGGTACGTGAGCCCCGACCTACAGTTACCTAGCCTGGTCCCAGGCCAGGAGCAACGGCACCTCAAAACGTCACTGGGAGCTGCCCCGCTAACCCGCTTCCCGTTGGGCCCTTCCCTTAACCACCCCCCACACAGAGCCCAACCCTTTCCTCCCCGCGGACCAAAACCCAGGTCGTGTTTAGAAGGCAAGAGTATTTGCTGGGAACGCCAGACCCCACACCAAAAGATGGAAACAGAAGTTTGCTGTGAGACAAAGCTTCCTCATGGAGTTAAAATAACATTAATCTCCCCACAAGCTTATAATTACAAAGTGGAAAAGTTCACAATGGAGAAATTTGACAGGTGTGCCTTAATTCAAGAGCTCGAAGTAAACATCACAAATGTGACAAGCTGATTCTGCGCCTCTCAATTCGATGCGCCAAGAACAGTATCACTTCTGGGGTCTTCCTACAGTAAAAGGTAAATTAAATCTCACTAAGGAAACATGAAACCACCCAAACTGAAGGACACTCTACAATGTCGGACAATACTTTTCAAAGATGTCATGAAAAGACACGGAAAGGAGGCTGGAGGGACATGAACACTAGGTGCAGTCAGTGATTCCGGGTCGGATTCTGGACCAGGGAAAAAGAACTACGAGACATTGGGAAATCGGCAAAAATTGATATGGTTGCATCAATGTTAAATTTCCTGATTTTGAACATTGTACTGTGGTTTTGTAAAAGAATATCCTTGTTCCTAGGAAAGACTGAAATATTTGGGGCAAGAGGACATGCCTCTAACTTACCTCAATAGACCAGAAAAAAATGCCTATGAACATGCGCGCGCGCACACAAAAAGTAAAAAGCCACGGGCAAAATTAACAATTGGTAGATCTGAGGATTTGAGTCTTGAGTATTTGCAACCTTTCTCCAAGTCTGAAATCCTATCAAAATTGTTACGCATTTTTACATTGTTTGCTGTATCTATCTGCCTCACAGAAACAGATAGGCAAGGGCTCCCTCGACACCCACGCTTGCAAACATGCCCAGCTTTACCCTGGACAGAAAAGCAGATAAATGTGTGGATCACCACCCACGCTTGCAAACATGCCCAGCTTTACCCTGGACAGAAAAGCAGATAAATGTGTGGATCACCAACTGAACAACAGCTCCTTCTCCTCACTACTCAAGAGCAGGTACCAGCCCTGCCCTGTCTTTGACCCACAGCCTCAGCAGACCCCTAAACTCAGAGTGACCTATTGAGGATCCTCCCAGCGAGCATCCCAGTTATACTGACCCTCCTCCACCTCCACTCCCACTTGCATCTCCTATGTGCCAGGTACTAGGCAGACACCACCCATCCTATCTCCCACCTGCAAAGCCCAACCCTCAAACATGTGAGGACTGTTACCCTTTCAGGGCAGGTTCATTAGCCCAGATTCTATGTATCTGGGGGAGGCCGAGGATCAAACACTCAGGGCGTGCGGGGCGAGGAGGAAAGCATCTCCTGATTTCCACCTGAAGCCAAGGTTAGTGCTCAGCGCCTGCCAGGACGAGGCAGGGTGGCTCAGGTCTCCAACACACCCACTGTATGGGCACTGCCCAAAGGCCACTTACAGATGCTCCCACTGCAGAGTGCTCTTCAGGATTTCTCCCGAGAGAGAACTCCTGCCCTCAGCACTGCTGGCACCCAACCCACACAGGACACAGGCAAGGTTGTTGTCCAAGGTTTATTGAAGATATTACAGCACAGCAGAAAGATTCAAACGGCTCCACGTGGTGTTTTGAAATTCATCCCAACTGTAGGCTGAGTGACCTGCAGGTTGGACAGACTGCCAAAGTCCTGGAAAAACAACAAAATAGGTTCAGTGTGGCTATATTGGTGAGATCTGTGCTGAAAGTCCCGGGAGCACTGCCAGGCCATGCCTGTCTGCCTCCCCTAGCTTGGGGTCAGGTTGGCAGGACCCTGCAGAAACACAACAGAGGCCTTCTCCCTGCCCCAGAGCAATAAACTCACAAGGGAGCCTACTTGAGATCTGAAGGCACATACATCCCAACACCCAGACAAGGGTGCTGTCCTGTACACTGTAGGATTTTTAGCAGCATCCCTGGCCTCTATCCATTAATGTCTGCTAGTATTCCAAGCTCTGACAACCAAACATGTCCAGACATTACCAAATGTCCTGAAGGTCAAAATCTTGTCCTTTGAGAATCACTGCTCTAAGGTCACATACAGTTCCATTTCCTTTCCAGGGCCTGACACAAGTAGGAAGCATCACTAATGCAACTGCCAAGGGCCTGCCACATACCTGGAACTTAACGTCCCTCCCGTTTTATCCTCAAAAACCAATTTTATAGTTGAAACTAAAAAGTTGCATTGAAGACTGATTATTTCTGGAGAAAATTATCCACAACAGACTTCAGCTATGCTGGTAATGTTTTTCTTAAACTGGCTGGTGAGTACATTGAAGTTCATTTTGTTCATTACCTCTCACATTTCATGGTCATAAAGAAGAAAAAATGAAGTTGCTTCAAGTCACTGTGTACTGGACTCTGAAGCCATGCTGCCTTCACCAAACTATGTACCACTGCAGAGAGAAGCCCCATGAAGACAGCTCAACTATCTGGGAAGTATGGGGAAAGCAGAGCACAGTTCTTTGGAGTGGTCAGCATATAGACGCACAAGGAGTGAAGTCCCCGAGTGAAGGCATGAAGAGTGAAATGAAAAGACAATCAGAGCTGGAACCGGGGAGGCAAATGTGAGGAGCAGCCACAGAGGCAGGAAGCAAACAGGAGAGAAGGGAGGAAGGTTGTCCTGGAAGTCATGGGGGAATGGTCATGGCTTCCGGAACTCTCTTCCTGTGGAGGGCCATCTCCACCTTCAACTAGCTAACCCCATTTTGGAGGCAGCCTGTCCAGTGGTTAGCAGTGTAGACAGAATTCCCAACCCTGCCACCCATTAATCTTCAAGTTACATTTCCTCAGGTAGGAAAAGTAGGTAACAGGATGTGCCTCTCGGGACACAGTGAGGACAAAGGAAATGTGTGAAGAACGTAGCTCCTGTTACTACAGACAGGAGAAAACTACAGATGGTCCTCGACCAGAGATAAAGTCCTCCTTTAGGAACTCGGGCAACACTTACCAAGAGTTTCAACATTTCCTTAGTGTCAGGGTCTACTTCAATGATCTCCTGATCCAGGGCTGAGACCTAGAAGGAACAGGGCAGGCCCCCAAACAATCGGTGGGTCATCTCTCACTCTGTGCACGCTTCTCCAAGATTCTTCAACGAGAGATAACGGGGTGGCGGCTGGCATCCCCCAAGGTGAGCAGTCTGCTTCAGAATTCCAGGTCCCAGGGATCTGCTCTTCTGCTTCTACCTCTGTAATTCCCTCGTTTACACCCAACCAGTCTGCACAAAACCTCCGCAGGAGCCGACCAACTCAGGAATGCTATGCTAAGGCAAACCGTGAAACGCACAGCATCAAGGGCTCCGCTGGGAAGAACCAGAAGGGACCTCAAGGGCCCCAGCAGGGCAGAAGGGGCGATCACACAGGCAGATGAGCTTGGGCACTACAGCTGGCCGGGGCGGGGTGCTCTATGCATAAGAGACCCCCTTCCTCAGACTCGCCACAGGGGCCTCTCAAGGCTCTCAGCACCCTGCTGCTCCACCTCTGAGGATGAGCCAGACCCCGCAAGTTTACCTCGGGCACGTAATTATCCCTCCTTTCTCTCTCCTCCTCCTGCAGCTTGATGGAGATGCCTCGCACCGGGCCCCTCTGAATCCGCTTCATCAGGTGTGTGACATAGCTGCAAAGGACACACGGCCACGAGCACCGTGAGGCCGCGGACGCCGCAGGGACAAGGGCCGGGGCTCCGCCCGGGCGCACAGAGCGGCTCACCGCAGCCCGCCCAAGCCGCGCGCGAACCCTCCCACCCCGCCCGGCCGCCTCCCCAAGCCCCCGACGCGGCCGCGCAGGGAAGCCCGCAGCGCGCCCCTCCCGCGCCCCTCTCCGCCAGGCCCGCCAGCTCACCCTGCGATCTTGTTGCGGAGCTTCTTGCTGGGGATGATGGCGATCTCCTCGCACACGCGCTTGTTGGTGTGGAAGTCGTTGCCCAGGCGCGTGTAGTACTTCTCAATGATGACCCGGGCCGCCTTCTTCACGGTTTTGGTGCGGACGCGGCCCTGCGGGTGGGAGAACACAGCGTCACCCGCGAGCCGGGACAGCCCTCCGACGGCGGCGGGGTTCGCGGGCTGTGGCTGAGCCCGGGACGGGAGGAGGGCCGGCCGGGCGGCGCCGGAGCGCGGGGCTCAGCGCGGAGGCCAGCGGCCCGCGGAGGCCGGGGGCGCGGGGCTGCCGCGCCCCTCCTCGAGGGCTGGAGGCCGCGGAAAGCAGAGGATGGAGGACGATTGTAGGAGACCGAGGCCTCGGGCCAAGATACCTACCATGTTGGCGGGTATAGTAAAAGAGGAAACAGGAAACACAAGCGAGGCCTATAAAGCGCGGCCAGAAAGGCGCTTCCGGCTAACCCGGGACAAGCAGAGCCGAAGCGGGTGCTCCACAGCGACCCCCGGCGCGGCGGGGCGGAAGTGCAGGGGGCCTGCCGTCACCTGGCGGGCGGGGCGAATTCCTGGCCCGCCTCCGCGCCCCCCCCCCGCCCCCGCCGTGGGCGCAGCTCCCGCTCCCCGCCTCTCCTAGCGTTCTGTCGGCCCGCTTCTTCTGCTTCTTGGTTCTGAGACAGGATCATTCGAGGTGCCCTAGACTAGAAGGGATGCATGTATTCTGCACACGCCAGCGACACGGAGGGAGGCTTTAGAGTCCTTGGGACGGCGATTCGGGAACGAGGAAAGGTAAGGAGGTAGATGGTGCCCCGCCCAGGACCCCCAGCCTCAGGGACTTGCTTTTCTAGCCTGGGGGAGAAGGGCGCCACTGGGAGACGCTTATCCCGTTTCTTCCAAGTCTTTGCTCCAGCGTCACCTTAGCAGAGGGGCTTTCCCTTCTATCCTTTTTAAGCTGCTTGTCATGGTGACTTGCCTTAGTTTCCTCAACTAAGGGTGAGCTCTACCACAGTAAGGGCCGTTTTGCTTCGCTAGTCCCCAGTGCCCCCGACAAAGCAAGCTCTCAAACGTGGAAGCAGAGGGCCCAGTTCGCCTGCAGCGCTCCCGACCCAGTACTGGGGCACCTCCTCCAGCCAGTACAGGCTTCAGGCTGTTGCTGCCGCACCCATCCCCAAGCCAGGCCTTCTGAAGCCCAGGCTGGACTGGCCAGGTTGCAGGGGTTCAGGGGCTCCGGGCTGGGCCTCATCCAACTCACTCTGGTCACCTTGGCCAGGGCCATCAGACTTTGAACTGACTGGGAATGGAAGGAGGACAGGAAGCCCTCTACCTGAAAGTGGCCCCTGGACAAGATGGGGACGGAGGGGAGGAGAGACGCCTCTGCAGGAAAAAGGAGAAAAAGCGGAGACCAAAAGGGACGCTCACGCTCCTCTGAGGGAGTTGCAGGAACTTATTTTATCAGCAAACTTCCTGTCCAGCATCTGCCAGCCAGACCTCGAGTAAAAAGATGAGTGAGGCCTCTCCGTCTTGGCTGAAGGACTCCCCCACCCCCTCCAACAGGAGTTCTTACACCTCTCACCAGAGGAATGCTTTGCTGTGCCACGTTCCCTCTACCTCAGACTAAAGTGGAATCCAAAGGCTCAGTCCGGGCACTGGGCCCAGGCACAACCTACCTGGAAAGAGCATCGTCGGACCCTCTCTCAAATCCTGGGAGCCTGTGACAGAATCCAAATTAACAGGGCTCTCTGAAGAGCAGCAAGTAAATTTCTCCCTCTTAGAAAGGAACTGGCTCAAGCACAGGTGAGTCCAAGGCAATGGAAAGCCTTCCGAGAAAGCTTGGGAGAGCTTGAGAACAAGTGGCCTGAGGAGCTGTGCCTCCAGTTTCTCCAAGCTGCGTCTGGAGCTTTGAGAAGTGTAAGCATGACGGCTTTTTATGCCTGGAGCAAAGCTACCCACCCGCCAGAGAGGCGTCTCTGAGGGGCATTTGACCACAGAAGTGACCAAGAAGTACTGACAGGGGCAGATCTCCCCATGGCCCCACCATCAACCTGGGCTGGAATCCCATGACAGAAAATCCAAGGAAACATGAATTTTTACTCTCAAGTCTTATTACCCTACTGCCCCTTGGCTCCCACACCACAGACACAGAGAGACAGACGAGAACTCTGCTGCAACGTGTTTATTATGTGCCAAAAAAACTACACCACAGCTTACTCCACACATCTGTAGGAGAGTGCAGTCTTGCCTGCATATACTACAATGAGGTAGAGACTTCACACACAGCTTCACAAAACCCACAGAGTAGCTGGGATATGCAACAATGCAACGTCAGCTCAGCAGGAGGGAGGGGGGGTTATGACACTGGTTCTTTGGCACACAGCTTCCCAAAGAGGGGCAAGTAGGTTTTTTGTTTTCTTTTTTTTAAAAAAAGAAGAAAGAAAAAGTCAAGTTTTCAAATTCCAGTAGCATTTCAGTGACTGCAACTGTTGCTTCATACACTTCTCAAATGAAAGAAATAAGGGAAGGGTACTTGTCCCCTCTGAGAGAAAGGGCTCCTGTGAGCCTTCATCTGCCCCCACCAAAAAGCAGCCCTTTTTTAGCTCAGTTACAAAAGAAAAAAAAGTCCTGTGACTTTGTGATTAAAAACTTCTATCAACCCTCCCCCCCACATAAGTGCAACTTAAGAAGGTGCAATAAACCATTTAAAACTATATACAGCAGCCGCTCAAATACCGTTTATCCGGTCCAGTTTCAAATCCAAAAAAATTTTTTTATTCTTGGTTGCAAATGCCTTGATTTGCAACTGTGAGAAACAGTGACCAGCAGTCCCCCAGACACAAATTTGCTATAATGTTAAAAGCTGCCAGGAAAGAAAAAAAAAATCTCTTGTTCCAAACGACTTAAAAACTGTTTTAAGGAGTGTAAAAAGGAACCGGTAAAAACCCTCGAGCGTAAAATATGAAATATGATTTTGGTTTAAATGAAGAGCAAAGTCTCCTTGTTGTTTACAGTAAAAAACACCAGCTGAACACTCAGTTTATGCCGTTCAGGTGGGGGTTAAATAAATGGAAAGGCACTGTATGGCAACTGCAAGAATGAAACCAACGAGACCCGCGCATCACCACCATCAGTATTGCAAGGAATGTAAAAAAGCGCTTTTAATAAATAAACCTAGATGTAGGCGTCGTGTCAATACCTTCCGGACACGTAGTTCTTTTTTGCTTTTCATCGGCAAAATGAGGAACTAAAATCTGGGAAAACTACAGAGTCGCTTGGAGGGTGAGCCAGAGGGTCCTTGCCCTGGCGCACCCCCTGAAAACAAAACCCGACAGAACTCATTGTGCATTAATTAGTGCAGAAACAAAGACAGATTCAGCAAGTGCAAAGGTGACTACGATTTTCCCTTGTCCTTGGGAAGCCAGCTCCCTGGTCGCCAGGGGCAGGAGGGTGCAGGCGGCTGCCTGACCTGCCAGCCTTGGGCGCCACAGGCCACTGGGCACGGTCTGCCCCTCTAGCTGGCGTCTCGGTTCTTCTGGTTCCGCATCAGGGGGCTGTGGTGGCGCAGGCCCTCCATGCTGTGCCGCCAGTGCCAGCAGCTCCGGCAGAAGTATTTGAAGCACACCTGGTTGGGGGAGGAGGAGGAGAGAAGCCATACCCGCGTCAGACCGGAGGGGAGGGGGGCCTGCATGAGCTGCCTGCTCTGCTGGAGAGGGAGCAGGGGTTCCCGGCGGCCTCCGTGCAGTCAGAAGGCATGGTCTTGGGGAACGTCCTCCCTGCTGACAGAGGCCTGACCAGCCGTGGCAAACCCACTGTGTATGTGCCCAACTCAAGCAAACGTGAGGGGTTCCTACTGTGCAGAGACGGAGCCAGCTGCCCGCACGCTCTCCTACCACCAGGGCTGCTCGTAGGTCCCGGCCCTTCTCACCTCCTACAGAGCAGCTGCATCAGATGGCTGCTAATTTAGGAGACCATTCAAAGATAGCGGCTACACGTCCTAATGCTGGGCAACACGCCTTCGTCTTCACACTAAGTGAGGAGAGGCGATGGGGTATGCCCCACAGTCTGGTCCTACCTCTGGCTGGCCGTGCAACCTCAGCCAGCCCACCAGCCTTTGAACAACTGCCTGAACGTGGGGTTCATCTGTGAACAACAGGGACACACAGAAGTCTGCTAGAAGAGGCTCAGCAGAGAGATACCTGTTCTGGGCTTTGCCCAACAACCCAAATTTACTCACAACCTCCCTTTGGAGCCTCCGGTTTAACTTTTACCTACCTGGAGCCTCTGACCCTGAGCAATAAGCACCACTGCAATAAAAACCAAGCATGGTTGACTGCTAGTGTCTGAACAGGCCCCAAACCTCCCCTAACTCTTGTCCAAGTGTACCAGGCCAGCCACTTGGACACCACTTGGAAACTTGTCAGAAATAAGGAATCTCAGGTTCCACTCCAAACCCACGGAGTCAGAATCTGCATTTAAACAACATCCTCAAATGTGTGTTTTAACATATGAGAAACACTGCCCAAACACACCCAGAGCCCTGCTCCCACCACCCAGGAACAGTCAACAGAAAGCTGCCCACTTCTGACAACTGTGGATAGAAACCAGGTAAAAATATCAAGAGTCCAGAGGCTCACAAGTGAAGAAGAGGTCCTTGAGTAGAGCAAGATCAATGGGGAAAGGCTTGAGTTAGAACTACTGTGCCTGGCTCAGAGGTGCTGCTGGCCATACCCACCCAGGTTCCTTCCGTCCACAAAGACATCCTGTTGGCGGTCGTGCCACAAGCAAGGGGAAGGCCAAGGTATCAAGACTTAACAGGCTTTCCCAAGGGCTTGTTTCCCCTGGTCTGACCATCAGGGAACATGACTGCTGCCTCCTTTGTGCTTTCTTAGACAACCCCAAGAGCACCAACCTAGAGACAAATGTGGCATGACAATTTTTAATTGAGGGCGGGGACTTCCCAGACATCTGAAGTGCCCAGGGGACTTACCTGATCTCGACAGAAGAAAGGACCAGGCTGAGAACTGCAGATATGACACAGAGAATCTTCCAGGTAGGGGTCAATCTGAACCTACACAAAGGGAAAAACAAGAGAATGAGTGGCTCTTCCCGCCAGGAGGCCAAATGGGCCAGAAGAGAAGGGACATTACTGAGATATACACAGGAGTGCAGGACATCTCACTGTGAAGGAGAAGATATGGGCAGAGTACAGAGCCCCTGGAGGGCAGATGCACACACCACGCAAGGCCAGACTGGCAGGCAACAACACACATCACTGCATCTGCATGGGTTTCTCAGCAAATTAGATACCAGCATTCGATCACCCAGCAAAAGGTAAGTGTTCAGAGGATGCAGGTCAGGTTGGAGAATGGGAATCCAGGCTGCCCAAGCAACGCTGGTCAAACACCCAGTGAGCAGACACCTCACATACTGAAGAGGCTCCACGGTCCCAGCTCCCCTCCTCCTCCCTCCTGAGCCTGCCACAGCCAGGCCACGCCCAACCCCAAC